TTTAGTGCATCTAGAGGACTGAGACAAGGAGATCCTTTATCTCATTTTCTCTTTACTTTAGTAGTCGACAAATTATGTAGATTAGTGAGGAAGACTGATAGTTGTAATTTGGTGGAGGGTTTCACAGTGGGGGGGGATAGAATTTGAGGTTCTCATTTATAGTTTGCTAAAGATACAATAGTTTTTTCTGAGGGGAAGAAGGAAAAGTTGATAAATTTTAAGAACATTGTAGAGGTGTTTGACTTGGTGTCAGGATTGAAGGTAAATATGAAAAAAAGTTTACTTGTGGCCATTAATTCAAGCGAGGACAAGATTAGTAGGTTAGCAGAACTTTTGGGGTGTAAAGTAGGAGAATGACCTTTGAAGTACTTAGGACTACCGTTGGAGAGGAATCCGTTTTTATTATCTTTTTGGGATCCAGTGGTAGAAAAAGTTGGAAAATGGTTAGACGGGTGGAAAAAAGCTTACATATCCAAGGGGAGAAGGCTAACTCTTGTTCAGCCAGTTTTATCTAATATTTTCACATACTTTTTATCTTTATTTAAGTTACCAGGGAGAGTTTCTGTGAGAATTGAAAAAATGATGAGAGATTTTTTTTGGAAAAATAGTAGGGAAGGGAGAAAGGATCATTTGATTAGTTGGAGGGTGCTGTCTAGACCTAAGGATAAAGGAATTTTCTCAATTGGATATTTTAAGGCAAGAAATATTGCATTGGTAGGAAAGTGGCTTTGGAGATTTTCCTTGGAAACAAATTCTTTATGACATTTAGTTATCAGGAGCAAATATGGATTACATTCTAACGGATGGGACACTAATAGGGTTGAAAGGGTTAGTTTTCGATTCCCTTGAAAGTTAATTTCTCAGGGTTTGAAGAGATTTTACCAAGAAGTAAGATATGTGGTGGGTAATTGGGAGAAAATACATTTTTGGGAGGATGTTTGGGTAAGGGGAAAATATAGTCTCATATTTGTTTCCTTGTCTATATGGTTTATCTCAGTCTCGTAATTCATTCATTGTGTCTATGATTCGTTCCCATTTATTCTCCATATTTGTGGAATTTTGGTTTTTGTAGGAATTTGATGATAGAAACACCATTGATTTGATATTACTTCTCAATATTTTGAACAACACTGTTTTGAACATTGAGTCGGTTGATAAAGAGAGTGGATGTTGGAATCATCGAGAGTCTTTTCATGTAAATCATTCTTTGATTGGGGAAATTTTTTATCCTTTTTTTGTTCTTACTTTGATGATAGGGAAATTAAAAGTACCTTTAAAAGTGCAAGTTTTCGCTTGGACAGTTGCATATGGTAAGATTAATACTAATGACATGCTTCAGAAAAGGAGACTTTACACTAGTCTTTCCCCTCAGTGGTGCGTGATGTGTAAAGGTGATGGTGAGAGTATTGATCATTTATTTTTACATTGTCCTGTTGCTTTGAATTTGTGGTATCGGTTGTACCAAGAGGCGGGCTTAAGTTGGGTGATCCTATCCTATCAACATCTATTTCTTTGTTTAATGAAGATGTTAAAGGATTTGGGGGATTTGACAAAGGGGTTACACATTGAAATTGTGCTATCATTTCTACTATGTGGGTTATTTGGAAGGAGCGAAATATAAGAATTTTTGAATACTGGAATGAGAGTGTGGAAGGACTATGGTAGCGTATTAATTTTTTGGCATCGTTTTGGGCTTCGATTACAACGGCTTTTAAAAGAACTCCGATTTTTGCTATAGTAGTGGGATGGAGAGCATCATGTGATTTATAAGCTTCTTAAAGTTTGTTGCTTTTCAATTTGTGGTCCCTTGATTATGATTGGATTTCTTATCTAATCTTTCTTAATGTACTACCTTTTTCTATTTTAATACAAGAGTTTCTGTTCTCTATTAAAAAAAAAAAAATCAATTATCATCAATTTTTTTTATAGACGTGTACTAAACATATATAATTTAAAAAATTGATCTTATTTTCTCATTTTTTTATTATATTTTGAATACAATTTAACATGTCTAATCTTGGTAATTATATGCTCTCTCACACAGTATAAGATAATAGTCAATTTTTTTAGCTTTGTTAGTTACATTTAAACAATCATTCTGTGTTCAATCTTCGTGTTAGTCCAGTGCTCTCCAACCTCCACTCCCTCCGCATTGGTAGGCCGTTGCTCTTCTTTTCCTTCTTGTTCTTGATCAAATCGAATGTTTATGCTTTTCGTTCCAGGTGTGAAAGGGGAAAGACACACCTCTATAATCTGATCCTTGAGTTATTCAACCTACTGCTTCAAAGCAGAAAAACAGAATAATGTTCCCCTTGTTTAATGCCTTTTGTACTCAATAAGTGTGTTGTTATTTATTTTTTGATTTTTTTCCATTATAGCTATAGTCGGTGAAGAGAAGACTAAAGCACTAGTTCCCAAAAGATGGAAAAGACAAAAAGATACTTACCTATTCGTGCTTCACAACGAGAAAGAGGTGTGGATCACATAGTAGTGAAATTTATCACCAATATACAATTAACGCTAATTTCCTACATTTTTTATAAGAAAACTTATTTACAATATATGTATAAAATGCACAACCATTCGTAATTGTAAGAGTGATCCTCCGATAAATTGTCAAAGCGACCCGTGACCTAAAATAGCGTACCGTGACATAAAATAGCGTACCAATTAAGTCTTACCCCATCACATTGCACACCAAAGAAACTATCGTACTGCGTCCTATACCCTTATCGAATCGACGTATGGTCTAGTCAACATTGTTCCTGACCTCTTCCTTTTTTTTTGTTGCTAAGGGCACATTTTTTGACTTATAAATAAGGAAAAAGAGATTTCGACTTGAAAGTATCAACTTATAGGGAAACAAAAATATTAAGAACAGAGTTAGTGAAAGAGTAAGGGAATGCATGTTGTTATGTAAGTCGTAACATTTAACGGACGGGAAAGAAGATTGAGATGATGTTCTTGTCCCCAAATCCTTAAGAAATGTCATTATGCATATCTAGTTAGTGGAAGGAGTTATATTACAAACTTCTATGCAGAGTTTCCTCTACTTTGGTTATCAGCCTCGAGCAAGGAAATTGGATACTTCGAGGGATATTATAAAGTGTCAATTTTGGGGTGTAATTATAAAGTATCCCTTGAGTTAAGTAGTTTAAGATACTTGAGTTAGACAGTTAAGCTACTCAAATGAAATTGTTTTCTTTTTTATGCATCAGTTTGGTACTTTATCATGGGTCACCAACGGGCATTTGGTCGAATGACACTCCTTACCTTGTAAAG